CATTGTATTACTTGTTCTTTGCTGTTATGTATTACTTGTTCAATACTTGTTCAAATACAGACGGAGATGCTAGCGAGGAGAAGAATAAAAAACCTATACTAGTAATATATCTGTGGTATGTTTAAAATTGCAAGGTAACAGAATTATTATGATTTCATATATAATATATATTAAATTGTGAATGAAATACATTTCTTTGTGTACAAAATACATTAACAAAACTGCTATTAATTTATCATGGAACTCACGTCTTAATGTTCACAATTAACGAATGTTATTTACATTCGCCTAGTTACAATATTGAACAGAACTTAATCTAGAAACAAATAGTAAAATCAGAAATGTGATTTACATTAGAATAATTAACGCTGTAGATATGTATCGAAAAGCTGTAAAATTAAAACTCATCAATCGATACTGTCTAGCATATCCGTGTTTAATATGCGATTTATCTAGAGAGCGTATTTTGTCATAAATATGATATTATAAACGTTTATCATAAATACAATAAAATAAATATGATAAAAAACACATATAATACATTTTTATATTTATTAAAAAATTTAGAAGATTATTTCAATAACACATTATTTGATTGAATTATATTTTCTGTATATTACAAAATATGATGCAGATTGTAAACATATATGATTGTAATTACTATAATAAATCTGCAGAAATATTAATTGTTATTATACATGTAACAAGTACGGCAGATTTTTCAGAAGATAAAACTCCAAATTTGCTATCAAGAAACTTAAATTTCGCTTTTTATATATCTATCTGCTATCTATGTGTATCTCTCTCTGTTTTTTGCCAAAGCTATGTCACAAAAAGTTATAGTTCATAATAATTACATATTTTAATTACTGCGTAAAAAAAACTTTCACACATAATACTTTAATATTCAAATTTTTCTAGTAAAAAACAAAATTAATGTTTATATAATAATATATTGTATATACAGGGTGTTGCATATACATATTGGGCAGTACGACGGGTTGCGCGGCATACTTTGCAGGGATAGGCGCAGTTCAATGGGTAATGACAGCATATATACGTATCATCATAACTTATTGATCGAATTGATCGCGCGCATTTTTACTAATTTTGAGTTTACAGCGTTTCAATTATAACGGACTTGAATAATCGTTGTGATTATTACTAGAGAAGCTAAAACACATTAAAGATAAAAATTAAATTTTAGAAAGTTAACACATTAAAAGAAACAAATATGATACAACAAAATTTCTTTCTTTACCGCTCTATCAAAATTTACAACGCTAACACGCGCGAAAAGTAAAGCGGTAAAGAAAGAAAATTTTGTTGTATCATATTTGTTTCTTTTAACGTGTTAACTTTCTAAAATTTAATTTTTTATCTTTAATGTGTTTTAGCTTCTTTAGTAATAATTGCAACAATTATTCAAGTCCGTTATAATTGAAACGCTGTAAACTCAAAATTAGTAAAAATGCGCGCGATCAATTCGATCAATAAATTATGATGCTACATATATATGCTGTCATTACCCACTGAACCGCGCCTATCCCTGCAAAGTATGTCGCGCAACCCGTCGTACTGCCCAATATGTATATGCAACACCCTATATATATTATACCTAAGAGCTTTTACATAGCAGCGCAAGTAACCAGAGCCTCTTGTGCGAGGCAACCATTTAAACCGCTGAACGCAAATAGAGAACCTCGGAAGAAAGGCTTAGCAGGCACCCTGAATTTTTGTAAAAACGTTAATTACAGGGCTGCTTTCCTCTCCTTCGGTCGATTGTTGTTGCCAGAAACGAAGCAAGGAGTAAATGCAAACGTCGAATGCGCTACCATTCACTTGATACATTTCTTTAAAGTGATGCTAATGCGAGTAAAAAACACGACTTACGTTCTTCAGTTGAAAATAATTGTCATTAATTTGTCTAATTTGCGAATATTTTCAAATACATCAAGCTGTAATTTAAATTCTACTTTAGGCGCACCGCCACTTAAGTTAATTTTTAATTGTTCGAAGCTGTATTCATCTTTGTAAAATGAACTGCAGCTTCGTACAGCCAGACGTGCCTCGCATGCTTCGGCTAGTCGAAAGAGCGTATATCGCGTTACTCGCTCAATGACAGAGTCAGTAAGACCAACTAC